TACATAAATTAAAAAATAAATTTAAAACAAAATTTAAAAAAAAAAAATATTATTATTATTTTTTTTTTTTAAATGCAGCATTTTTTTTCTTTTTATGTTTCTTTTTTTTAATTGTTGTTTTTTGTTTTTGTTTTTCTTTTGTTGTTTTTATTGTATGCGGGTCGAGTATGTTTGTTAGTCTGTTTGTATATGTAATGTTTTCTTTTTTAGATGAAAATTAAATGTAAAATGAAAAAAAATGCAAATATGCGCAAAGAGAAAAATAAATGAGAAAGTAAAAAATGGCGGGAATAAATACAAAAGTAAATACTTGAAATAATGATGCAAATCAAAACACATTTAATCAACTGATTGATGTGATAATACATTTATCTTTAATGATCTTCTAACACATTTAGTAAATGGGGGAATTCATACTAAGGTGAATATTATAAATGGAAAAACAAATTAAAAGAAAAATCAATTTATGTCACAATTTATCAATAAATTAAAGCCTTTTTTTTAATTTATTTATCAAATTATTTTATCATTATCTCAAGTCACCTATTCATTTATTTATTTTTAATTTTGGCGCTCCATTTAATACATTTAAATGTATTAAATGTTTTCTTTTCTTTCTTTCTTTCTTTTTTTCTGTTTCTCTTTCTGTATTATTTTCCCCTTCGTATTTTTTTCCGATGTATTTTCTAAAAAACAAATTAATTAAAAAGAATAAAATCAAATAAATACAAAAGAAATTAAAAAATATGAAAAGGGAAAATTAAATAGGAAAGTAAGAAAATAGGGTTTTTTTTTTTTTTTGGTATTTTTCTCCTGTGCATTTTCCAAAACATAAATTAATTATGAAATAAATTCAAATTAAAATAAAAAAGAAATCAATATAAAAAAATATCAATTAATTATTGCCTATATTTATCAGATTATTTTTGGTATATTAAATGGCACATTTATTTATTTATTTATTTATCAAGTCACCTATATTGTATTTATTTATTCATTTATTTCTCAAGTCACCTATATTGTATTTATTTATTTATTTATTTATTTATTTCTCAAGTCACCTATATTGTATTTATTTATTTATTTATATGGAGATTAGTTGAGTAGAGTCTGGACACTAAAGTAGAGAGCATGCAGAGAGTCGGCAGGAGGAACAGTGATGGAGGCAGACAGGTGTGCAGAGGGAGGAGGGGAGTGATGGTTGGTACACTTCTCTCTACAGGAAGTCTTCTTCTTCATGTGCTCTGACTTCCTGGTCTGTGTAAGAGCTGTTTTCTGCTCTGGTGTGGAGGGAGGGTTGTCAGTACTCACCCAGGGGGGAGAAACCCCTGGCGGGGCTGGTGTCGCGGCTGCTCTCGCGACTGGTTTCGCGGCTGCAGCCCTGACTCATGCTCGGCCGGGGGATCCGGCTCCGGGCTAGAGGAGCACGGCAGAGAGAGAGAGACAGACAGACAGACAGACAGACAGACAGACAGCAGCGCAGGGGGGAGAGTTTAGCTCGTAGCACATCCAGCCAGACACTGACACACCTGAAGCTCTGCAGACAGAGTTAGTGACGCAGGAGAGAAGAAGAGTCAGACTGAGGGAGGCTGCAGGAGTTAGTGTCACAAGAGACAGGAGGTGTCTGGAGTCTGTGGTGCGTTCAGGAACATCTGTGCCTCAGGCAACCTTTAAACAATCACACTTTAAACTCACTGCTGATGAGTTTGGTCCAAAGACTCTCTTTAACCTGCAGCTCTCAGTTCACCTTCATCATGTTGTTGTTTACACTAACGCTACTGTCTGTATGCAGTTTGTATGTTTAAAATCTCTGGTTTGTGTTTAAATAAATATATATTTGATCACTTTTGGTTGTTTTTTATAAAATGTCAACAAGCATATATTCAGTTTAATTCAATAAACCTTTGTTGTTCCTGGAGGGAAACTCTGGTGCTGCGTAAAACAACACAACAAAGAAAAAACAACAGAAAAAGAAAAAAAAACAGAGAAAAAGAAAAAAAAATTAAAAAGAAAATATTTTAAAAAAAGAGTATAAAACAACAAAAAAAGAAAGAGAAAAACAGGAAAAATAAAATAAAAACAAAAAGTAGACAAAACAAAAAATAAAATAAAAAAACAGAAAAAAGAAAACAATAAAACAGAATAAACAACAATAAAGACGAAACAAAAAAAAGGAAAAAATACCACAAAAAACAAAAAAGAGGACAACAAAAATACAAAAAAGACAAAAAGAAGAAAATACAGAGAAATAAAATTTAAAAAAAGAAAATATAAAAAAGTATAAAACAATAAAAAATAAAAAGAGAAAAGAAGGAAGAAGGAGAAATAAAAGAAAAATGGGAAAATGCCAAAAAATAAAAACAAGACCAGAAAAAAACAACAAAAAGTACAAAAAAGAAAAAAGAAAATAAAAGAAAAATGAAAAAAACCCAACAAAAAGTAAAAAAGAAACAAAAAATAAAAACAACAAAAAGAAGAAAAACACAAAAGAGAATTAAAAACAAACACCAAAAAAAACAAAAAGGAAAACATCAACAGACGAAAAAGTAGAAAATAACAACAGAAGAAAAGAGAGAAAGAACCAAAAAACAAGAAAAAAAAGCAAAAAAGAAAAACGACAAAAAAACAACTAAAACAATAGAAAAAGAGCGGAAACAACAACAAAAAAAGAAGAAAAAACAACAAATGGATGACAAAACAAAAAAGTAGGAAAAGAAACAAAAGAGGAGAAAAAAAAAATAGAATCAACAAAAACAAAAAAGGAAAACAAATAAACAAAAAGAAGTGAAGCAGTCTGGAGCTCAGATTGTTTAACAAAAGCTAAATCTAAAAAGACACCTGTGGTCACTGGATCTGCTGATCTGCTGATCTGTTGGATCGACGTCTAAATCAGTCGTTAGTTTGTCACTGAGTTACTGCGAAGTGTTTGGTTCACTTTAACTCTTTGTGTTTATTTTCCCGCCCTGCGGCTGCACGCCGTCCTCACCTGAGCCTGATCTGGTGGGGCTGGTCTCCCGGCTGCAGCCCTGGCTGCGGTGACCTCGGGGTCGGCCCTTGTCGCTCAGGTTGGCGGAGGTGCTGCTGGCGGCGGTGGCGGCGGCGGTGCCCATGGTCGGCCTGGGGATCCTGCCATAGGTGGAGCTCAGCAGTCGGCCGGGAGAACCTGACCTGCTGCCGGCTGACACACAGAAGGAAGCTGTTATTTTATTGCTACATACCGTGAACACACTGTACGCATGTTTTTAATCTGCTCACGCTGAGACTGCGAGACGACCTTCCCTCGACTCCTCCCTCGGCTGTCCGTCACAGTCGGGCCGTTCCCTGCGCTCGTCCTCCTGGTTCGGACTCGACCTGCGGACGCAGAGAAACAGGAAACGTTAACGTCAAAGTTGAAACGCTCTGAACGTGACGACTGCTGTCAGTGTGGACGTGGACACGTTGAACACGTCTGTCATGCAGGAACAGAGTGACGGTAACACGCAGGCCGCAGGGAGGAAACGTGACAGACAGGAAACAGTGACAGATGAAAGACAGGTCAGACACTTCTGAATAAAAGAATAAGCTCCGCCCCTTTCCTTCTTCACCAATAAGGAGTCCTCTTGTAAATCCACGATGCAGAAATTTCATGTTTCTATTCTGAGGAACGTCATGAACAGGACGCTGAAGTTGCTCCACACCATCAATATTTCACTCACCTGAACTCGTGTCTACATGTTCAGCAAACATGACACAACAGAGGTGGGACCAAGTCTTTGTTTTACAAGTCCAGGTCTTTTTGGAAGTCGAGTCTTTAGTGATCAGACTAGTGACTCGTGTCCGCACCTCTGTTCCCCAGACTGAGCCCAGTGTGAGAGCAGCTACAGTACACCATGCAGTCCATGCACCCACAGGTCATCACACATGAGCACCAGCACAGGACTGATGGGAGGTCACACACACACACACACACACACACACACACACACACACACACACACAGCTTACCGTCTGCATTAACAGACCACGAGCCGTCTGACAGGGGGGAGCCCAGGAGAGACACAACAAGGGTCAGGGGTCAAAGGTTAAGCTTCAGATGTGTTTGACAGAGAGGGGACAGTTGACTGACACTGTTCTTTTTCTTTGGTGTGAGGAACAGGTGCATCTACAGCGCTGCACATGACTGAGTGACGTGTGTCTGACATGTATCATGTCACGAGTACATCTCATGTTGTTATTAGACTGTTTTATGTTGACTGTTTACTTCAGCCGCCGTGCACAGAGTGCAAAAAACCAGGTCCGAACAATCCCAGAGTACGTACAGTGAAAATACTGATTCTACAGTTCAGAGAAGGTTCGGTAAAATATTAAATAATTAACTTACTTTAAGTGTCGCATGAATCATTCTGAATTTACAGTGTTTTTTGATCAGGCAGGGGTTTTTTTTTACACTTTTTTTTTAAATGTGATTTTTACACGTTTTTTACGTTCGTTGTACGTTTCTTAGGTGTTTTTTTTCCCTATTTTTTTAACATGTTAGCTGCATGTTCTTTTACTTGCTTCTTTTACATGTTTTTTATGTCTCCTTAAAGGTGTTTTTTAAAAGTATTTTTTACATTTTTTAGCGCAGGTTTTTTTTTTTTTTACATATCTTTAAACTTTTTTTAACATGTTTTTTACATCTTGATAATGTTTTTGTACACGTTTGATTGCATGCCTTTTTAAATGTTTTTTTATGTCTTCTTTAACTTGGTTTTTTTTTACGTTTTTTTTTATTTTTACGTTTTTTATGTGATTTTTACATGTTTTTTACGTTCTTTGTATGTTTCTTATATGCTTTTTTTCCAGAGTTTTTTAACATGTTTGTTAAATGTTCTTTTACTTGCTTCTTTTACGTGTTTTTTAATGTTTTCTTAAAGGTGTTTTTTTAAGTATTTTTAAAATATTTTTTTTACATTTTATTATACGTATTTTTAAATGTATTTTAAATGTGTTTTTTTACGTTCATTACATGTTTTGTTGAGTGCTTTTTTCCACATTTTTTAACATGTTCGTTAAATGTTCTTTTACTTGCTTCGTTTACGTTTTTTTTAACGTCTATTTTTAAGTATTTTTTACGTTCTTTACATGGTACTTACGTGCTTTTTAACATGTTTTTTAACGTGTTTTTTCATGTTGCTTTTCATGTGTTTTTTTAGGGATTCTTTAATTTGAAAAAAAGTCATAGTATAGCATGTGGTCCAAAATCACGAAAAAAAGTCATAGTATAGCATGTGGTCCAAAATCATGAAAAAAAGTCATAGTATAGCATGTCGTCCAAAATCATGAAAAAAAGTCATAGTATAGCATGTCGTCCAAAATCATGAAAAATAGTCATAGTATAGCATGTGGTCCAAAATCATGAAAAAAAGTCATAGTTTAGTATGTGGTCCAAAATCATGAAAAATAGTCATAGTATAGTATGTGGTCCAAAACCATGAAAAAAAGTCATAGTATAGCATGTGGTCCAAAATCATGAAAAAAAGTCATACTATAACATGTGGTCCAAAATCATGAAGAAAAGTCATAGTATAGCATGTGGTCCAAAATCATGAAAAAAAGTCATAGTATAGCATGTGGTCCAAAATCATGAAAAAAAGTCATAGTATAGCATGTGGTCCAAAATCATGAAAAAAAGTCATAGTATAGCATGTGGTCCAAAATCATGAAAAAAAGTCATAGTATAGCATGTGGTCCAAAATCATGAAAAAAAGTCATAGTATAGCATGTGGTCCAAAATCATGAAAAAAAGTCATAGTATAGCATGTGGTCCAAAATCATGAAAAAAAGTCATAGTATAGCATGTGGTCCAAAATCATGAAAAAAAGTCATAGTATAGCATGTGGTCCAAAATCATGAAAAAAAGTCATAGTATAGCATGTGGTCCAAAATCATGAAAAAAAGTCATAGTATAGCATGTGGTCCAAAATCATGAAAAAAAGTCATAGTATAGCATGTGGTCCAAAATCATGAAAAAAAGTCATAGTATAGCATGTGGTCCAAAATCATGAAAAAAAGTCATAGTATAGCATGTGGTCCAAAATCATGAAAAAAAGTCATAGTATAGCATGTGGTCCAAAATCATGAAAAAAAGTCATAGTATAGCATGTGGTCCAAAATCATGAAAAAAAGTCATAGTATAGCATGTGGTCCAAAATCATGAAAAAAAGTCATAGTATAGCATGTGGTCCAAAATCATGAAAAAAAGTCATAGTATAGCATGTGGTCCAAAATCATGAAAAAAAGTCATAGTATAGCATGTGGTCCAAAATCATGAAAAAAAGTCATAGTATAGCATGTGGTCCAAAATCATGAAAAAAAGTCATAGTATAGCATGTGGTCCAAAATCATGAAAAAAAGTCATAGTATAGCATGTGGTCCAAAATCATGAAAAAAAGTCATAGTATAGCATGTGGTCCAAAATCATGAAAAAAAGTCATAGTATAGCATGTGGTCCAAAATCATGAAAAAAAGTCATAGTATAGCATGTGGTCCAAAATCATGAAAAAAAGTCATAGTATAGCATGTGGTCCAAAATCATGAAAAAAAGTCATAGTATAGCATGTGGTCCAAAATCATGAAAAAAAGTCATAGTATAGCATGTGGTCCAAAATCATGAAAAAAAGTCATAGTATAGCATGTGGTCCAAAATCATGAAAAAAAGTCATAGTATAGCATGTGGTCCAAAATCATGAAAAAAAGTCATAGTATAGCATGTGGTCCAAAATCATGAAAAAAAGTCATAGTATAGCATGTGGTCCAAAATCATGAAAAAAAGTCATAGTATAGCATGTGGTCCAAAATCATGAAAAAAAGTCATAGTATAGCATGTGGTCCAAAATCATGAAAAAAAGTCATAGTATAGCATGTGGTCCAAAATCATGAAAAAAAGTCATAGTATAGCATGTGGTCCAAAATCATGAAAAAAAGTCATAGTATAGCATGTGGTCCAAAATCATGAAAAAAAGTCATAGTATAGCATGTGGTCCAAAATCATGAAAAAAAGTCATAGTATAGCATGTGGTCCAAAATCATGAAAAAAAGTCATAGTATAGCATGTGGTCCAAAATCATGAAAAAAAGTCATAGTATAGCATGTGGTCCAAAATCATGAAAAAAAGTCATAGTATAGCATGTGGTCCAAAATCATGAAAAAAAGTCATAGTATAGCATGTGGTCCAAAATCATGAAAAAAAGTCATAGTATAGCATGTGGTCCAAAATCATGAAAAAAAGTCATAGTATAGCATGTGGTCCAAAATCATGAAAAAAAGTCATAGTATAGCATGTGGTCCAAAATCATGAAAAAAAGTCATAGTATAGCATGTGGTCCAAAATCATGAAAAAAAGTCATAGTATAGCATGTGGTCCAAAATCATGAAAAAAAGTCATAGTATAGCATGTGGTCCAAAATCATGAAAAAAAGTCATAGTATAGCATGTGGTCCAAAATCATGAAAAAAAGTCATAGTATAGCATGTGGTCCAAAATCATGAAAAAAAGTCATAGTATAGCATGTGGTCCAAAATCATGAAAAAAAGTCATAGTATAGCATGTGGTCCAAAATCATGAAAAAAAGTCATAGTATAGCATGTGGTCCAAAATCATGAAAAAAAGTCATAGTATAGCATGTGGTCCAAAATCATGAAAAAAAGTCATAGTATAGCATGTGGTCCAAAATCATGAAAAAAAGTCATAGTATAGCATGTGGTCCAAAATCATGAAAAAAAGTCATAGTATAGCATGTGGTCCAAAATCATGAAAAAAAGTCATAGTATAGCATGTGGTCCAAAATCATGAAAAAAAGTCATAGTATAGCATGTGGTCCAAAATCATGAAAAAAAGTCATAGTATAGCATGTGGTCCAAAATCATGAAAAAAAGTCATAGTATAGCATGTGGTCCAAAATCATGAAAAAAAGTCATAGTATAGCATGTCGTCCAAAATCATGAAAAAAAGTCATAGTATAGCATGTGGTCCAAAATCATGAAAAAAAGTCATAGTATAGCATGTCGTCCAAAATCACGAAAAAAAAGTCATAGTATAGCATGTGGTCCAAAATCATGAAAAAAAGTCATAGTATAGCATGTTGTCCAAAATCACGAAAAAAAGTCATAGTATAGAATGTCGTTCTTTTTATGACAGAAAAGACCCCTAAAAATGTCGCAACACGCATCCGAAGTTTTTTGAAACGCTAGTGTGAAATCAGGCTGCAATGATCCCAGAAACAGTCGTGACATCTTGGAGGGACTGACGTGGATATAAACACTGAGCTGCGGCGTTAACAGTCAGAGTTTGTGTGATTTAATTACACAAAATAAATACCGTGTGTTGGGTCTTACCCAGTGAAGCGTAGGATCCAGGAGGGAGCGCCGAGGCCGAACTGAAGGGTGAAGCCGCCGACACTGCAGAGGGCACGGCAGGCATCCTGGTGCGGGCTGTAGCGGTGGCCGCCGCGTTGACGTCCACGTCGCTGCGAGAGCGCTGGAGGGAGCCTGGAGAGGAGGCTGCAGCAGGAGTCCTGGTGTGGGCCGGTTTGGCTGGAGGAGGAGCAGATAAGATCCAACGTTAGAGCAGGAAGTGAACTTACACTGCACAACCCCAAGACCTGACTCCATGAAACCACTTAGGCTAAGGCTGCGCTTAAGGGTTCATCTAAGGGTGATCAATGTTCTTCACCTGTCATGTTGTGAATGGATTAAAGAACTCACATCTTGTAGTCCCGCCTCCAAAGGTGTTCTTGACGGACAGCGGGCGGCTGCAGAGAGAGGGTTAAAGAGAGACACATGCTAAATGTCTTGAGTGTACATTATTGTATCGATGGACTAGAGAGGAGGCGGCGGTGTCTCACTTGAGGCTCTCCTGGGAGGAAGAGGAGGAGCGGTCTGAGGCCGGCAGTGACATCAGGCTGTCCCCGCTCCTCAGGTGAGCTTGCAGAGCCTTCTGATAGGACGACTCCAGGCCCTGGAACAGCTGCTCCGCCTCCCGCCTGAAGTGACCATGGAAGCTCCAGTAGCACCTGTGACGGCAAGCCGGAGGACCAAAAATCAACCCTCGCGTCTCCATGATCTGACTGTGATGTGAGCAAGCGTACAGGAAGTGGTTACTTACTTCCTGGCCACAGAGCGAGCCTCGGCGTCTGCATCATGGATCCCTTTCTTTATCGTCTCCATGACAACTGTCCCGTGTCTACGAAGGAGGAAGAAATAGGAAGTTTTTATTTTATTTTATTTTTGTATCATAATTACATCTCTCATTATTCTATATAATCTATTTCTATTTTTGTATAATATTTCTTTTATTTATATTTATTTATTTTATTACTATTTTCATTAACTCTTTTTATTTTGATTTACTTTTATTAATCTCTATTTTCCTAAATTTATTTATCTATTTTATTACTCTTATATTCAGTTTATTTAATGGATTTTTATTATTTTTGATCAATTAATATTTTTTTAAATGTCTTTATTTATTTAGTTTTTTATGTCT